CCTGGAGTGTGTATACCTGGAGAGTGTATACCTGGAGAGTATATACCTGGAGTGTGTCTACCTGGAGAGTGTATACCTGAAGGGTGTATACCTGGATTGTGTATACCTGGAGTGTGTCTACCTGGAAAGTGTATACCTGGAGGGTGTATACCTGGAGTGTGTATACCTGGAGGGTATATACCTGGAGTGTGTATATCTGGAGTGTGTATACCTGAAGGGTGTATACCTGGAGTCTGTATACCTGGAGGGTGTATACTTGGAGTGTGCATACCTGGAGAGTGTATACCTGGAGGGTGTATACCTGGAGTGTGTATACCTGGAGAGTGTATACCTGGAGTGTGTATATCTGGAGTGTGTATACCTGAAGGGTGTATACCTGGAGTCTGTATACCAGGAGGGTGTATAACTAGAGGGTGTATACCTGGAGTGTGTATACCTGGAGTGTGTATAGTTGGAGTGTGTATACTTGGAGGGTGTATAACTGGAGGGCGTATATCTGGAGGGTGTATAACTGGAGGGTGTATACCTAGAGAGTGTATAACTGGAGTGTGTATACCTGGAGTGTGTATACCTGGAGGGTGTATAACTGAAGGGCGTGTACCTGGAGGGTGTATAATTGAAGGGCATATACCTGGAGGGTGTATAACTGGAGGGCGTATACCTGGAGGGTGTATAACTGGAGGGTGTATACCTGGAGTGTGTATACCTGGAGAGTGTATACCTGGAGTGTATATACCTGGAGTGTGTCTAACTGGAGAGTGTATACCTGGAGGGTGTATACCTGGAGTGTGTATACTTGGAGGGTGTATAACTGGAGGGCGTATATCTGGAGGGTGTATAACTGGAGGGTTTATACTTGGAGTGTGTCTACCTGGAGAGTGTATACCTGGAGGGTGTATACCTGGAGTGTGTAACCTGGAGGGTATATACCTGGATGTGTATATCTGGAGTGTGTATACCTAAAGGGTGTATACCTGGAGTCTGTATACCTGGAGGGTGTATACTTGGAGTGTGTATACCTGGAGAGTGTATACCTGGAGGGTGTATACCTGGAGTGTGTATACCTGGAGGGTGTATACCTGGAGTGTGTATATCTGGAGTGTGTATACCTGAAGGGTGTATACCTGGAGTGTGTATACCTGGAGGGTGTATAACTAGAGGGTGTATACCTGGAGTGTGTATACCTGGAGTGTGTATAGTTGGAGGGTGTATACCTGGAGTGTGTATACCTGGAGGGTGTATACCTGGAGTGTGTATATCTGGAGTGTGTATACCTGAAGGGTGTATACCTGGAGTCTGTATACCTGGAGGGTGTATAACTAGAGGGTGTATACCTGGAGTGTGTATACCTGGAGTGTGTATAGTTGGAGGGTGTATATCTAGAGTGTGTATATCTGGAGTGTGTCTACCTGAAGGGTATATATCTGGAGTCTGTATACCTGGAGGATGTATACCTGGAGAATGTATACCTGGAGGGTGTATACCTTGGAGTGTATACACCTGGAGTGTGTATACCTGGAGCGTGTACACCTGGAGTGTGTATACCTGGAGTGTGCATATCTAGAGTATGTCTATCTGAAGGGTGTATACCTGGAGTCTGTATACCTGGAGTCTGTATACCTGGAGAGTGTATACTTGGAGAGTGTATACCTGGAGGGTGCATACCTGGAGGGTGCATACCTGGAGGGTGTATACCTGGAGTGCATACACCTGGAGTGTGTATACCTGGAGTGTGTACACCTGGAGTGTGTATACCTGGAGTGTGTATACCTGAAGGGTGTATACCTGGAGGGTGTATAACCCGGGTATTCTTAAGGGTCCGATACACAAACCCGGGTAAGTCTACTTTGACGTATTGTAGTTCGGTTGACTGCGCAGTTGAGAACTAATGTACGATCTAGGTAGATTACCATTAACCCGGTAACAGGCGGGCTTTTTAGCCCAACACAAGTATAAGGCCCTCGTCAGTATTCAGTTATTTAATGAAATACTGACACAACACCCCTAGGGGTATTTATACTTATAAGCACTTGCTCCCTACAGCCACGTGGTCGTATACCTGGAGGTATACGACCACGTGGCTGTCGGGTGATAATCATCGGAGGCTGCGATTGGGCAGACACAGCAACAAAGCTAAGTATCCTCATTACTGATACAGAGTTACTTTGTTTGTTCTACTAGTTTTTGTAACCATAATTTGATGAGATAAATTTTGCTAGAGTTGCTGATACTCCTTCCCCTCCTGTAGAAATTTTCTCCACACATTGGGGGGCAGCGAGATTGCACTGGACCAATAATTTTAACTAAAACAGTTGACAAAGTTCCCATCAAGGTGTACATCTTTTTGTTCACCTGTGCTACAACTAGAGCAGTACATCAAGAAGTAGCCACTGATATGGCTACTTCAGAAGGTTTGCAGCCGGAAGGGCATGTCCCACACTGATGATATCAGACAATGCAACGAACTTTGTTGCTGGTGCTACTTATATAAAAATGATCTTTGATCAGCCAGAAGTACAACAGACACTGAATCAACCCAGTTGTCGTTGGAGATACATTACTCCTAAATCTCCATGGCACGGCGGAATTTATGAAAGAATGATCGGCACTGTTAAACGTTGTTTAAGGAAGACTCTTCATCGTCAGAGAATCGACTTAGAAGAATTTTGCACAGACATGACTGAAATAGAAAACAAGAGTCAACAGTAGACCTCTAACTTATGTTACCGATGATCTAGACAATTTGTTCAGATCAGAAGAAGGCTCGAACCTGTTCCTCCAATGAATGATAAAGAAATCATGGAGGATCCTACTGTTTCGAACCTGAGCAACTTAGATGTAAATTCAAACACCTTAATAAAGTGATTGAATGCTGGAAGAAAATTTGGCGAGAAGACTATCTCACCTCTTTGAGAGAACACTTCTATGGAGCTGGTGTTTGTGAAAATTATAAGTCATTAAGACTTGGTGACAGTGATTATTGACAATGATGGTCCGAGGTCCCAATGGCCTCTTGGAAAAATTGTGACCATATATCCTGATGCAAATGGAATCATCAGGACAGTTGATGTTTTGAGCAAAAGTGTAGTGAATAAACGGACAATAAATAAATTAGTGCCGTTAAAATTACAGTGTTGAAAACAAAATTAGTGATTCTCCAGAAACCCCACAGACTAAAACTTTAGAAAAGACAAGCAGCAGTGGTGGCGAGTGAGAAAATCAAATTAATGTTAAGTGATGAATAGTTCACAAGCAGCGAACCTCTGCCGCCCCCCAGTGTGGAGAAAATTTCTCCAGGAAGGGGGTATCAGTCCCTTTAAGCCCTCTGAGGGACTCAGCCCTCCAGAGGGGCTGATAGCGTCTAGGTTCCTGATCAACACTTAAGAATACCCGGGTATCAGGTGTCTTGATTGAAGAATAGGTATCTCGGTGCACTAGTCTATAAAGATAGTTCTCAATACACTCGGCATACGACGCTGCTTTGTCTTTCAATCATTTAAAATTCACAGTACTGTCACTACAGGAAGCTGTGCACACTTCTCTGTAATATACCGCGAATGTGGATTGCCGTTATGCACAAAAACGCGCGGATCAGTGTTGTTTGTTCGTTATCCCGGCGTTAATAGTTCCCATTACAGGGTTTAAAGCACTCTCACGGCACCACAGCGCCTTCCGCCTCTGCCGCCCCTAGACACGAAGGAAAAGCTGATTCAAGCTAATTTCCTTTCCTTGCCAAACTTCCACCATGAAGCAGTGCAGAATGCTTGATTCTAGCTGTCTGGGCATAGACGTCAGTTCATGCTATCTTTAACATTGTATTAAAGTGGGCGCAAGATTTTCCTTAATTGTCCTGCTAAGGTAAAAGATCGATTGTCTCTCATTAAACTACACATGATTGCAACACTGGTCAGCCATGACGTGACTTACTGGCGTGCCCGGGTACGAACACGTGTTCCAAATTAAAGTGTTGACCAGGAAGCTAGACGCTATCAGCCCCTCTGGAGGGCTAAGTCTCTCAGAGGGCTTAAAGGGGCTGATACCCCCCTTCTGGAGAAATTTTCTCCACAGGATGGATACCTGGAGGGTGTATACCTGGAGTGTGTATACCTGGAGTGTGTATACCTGGAGGGTGTATACCTGGAGTATGTATACCTGAAGTGTGTATACCTGGGGTCTGTATACCTGGAGGGTGTATACCTGCAGGGTGTATCCTTGGAGGGTGTATACCCGGAGGGGGTCAACGCCCCCGCAGCCTGGTCCATGACCAGGCCTCGGTGATTAATTCCTTATAATAATATTTTAAAATGAAGGTTGTGTCCATAAGTAAAATTTAGCCTACTTATTAACACGGGAATTTTATCCATTGATATAAACATATTTATTTTTAGTTTAATGAACTCGTTTTGAATTTAGTGATCTCTGTAGAAACCTTGAGTGTGGCCTATCATCGTCACTGTATGTTTCCAGATAGAGAACAAAATCTACGATACACTGCAGAATTTACAGTGAAGAAGGAACTCCAGAGAATGTATCGGCTAGTGTTACGCTAGTATCAAGCAGGAACTGTGACTTGATAATGATTTAAGACGGGCCGACTCGTAGTATAAAGTTTTCTAATTATGAGTCTAAGAACTGTGTAACTCTCAGAAGCTAAGTACCTCCTACTCTAACTACTGCTACTACTACTACTACTATTACCACGACACCTACTTCTGCTACTACTCTTACTACTTCGACTATAAATACTACTACTGTTACTACTATTACTATTACTACGACTATTACTACTACAACTATTACTACTACTACTACTACAACTCCTACTTGTACTACTACAACTACTAATACTACCACGACTGGACACTGTCACTACAAATCTTACTGTGTAAATACACATAGATCTAAATGGGTTGGTTGTAAAGACATGCAATTATATTAAGTTTCATAACTTGCGCGAACTGTATCACTGTCAACAAGAACATTTCACCCCTCCATGGAAGATGTTTCAGATGTGTATCACATATCTGCAAGACTTTCCCAAGAAACTCATCACTAGTAATCCCCTCCTTAAAGCAACTGCTCAAGAGGAAATTTTTCACTTGGCTGTTAGTAATAATTTATCACAAGTTGTATATACTGATGGATTTATACAGGATTCTACTGGCAGGGCTGTATCTGGTACTGTTGCCACCTTCCTGGTTAAGAACGGTAAGAACTATGTTGAGTTAGGTAAAAGAATTAACAACAGGGTGTCTACACTGCAAACTGAACTGTTTGCCATCACAGCTTGACTCTGTGATTACTACTGATACATTGTCCTCATCGCCCTTGGCCGTGCGGACAGACTGCGCAGTGGCTCCTGATACAACTGATTTACTGCGCAGTTTTCCTGTTTTGTGCATACAACATGGCGGACCGCATTGGACGCCGGGTGAGCACTGTTTGTGTGGAATTGGTGCGTGGCACGCTTACAGGAACAACAATGCAGGTGTTACTGCATGCCATCATCAGTGAGGTATATGGAATACCGACCGAAGAATTATATGGAGTAGCAGTAAATGGTGTGTCGAGAATTTTCATCAAGTTTAAAGACGCAGGATTCTACACAAGCATAGTCAACAAATATCAAGAGAAGAGGCTGGCAGTGAACACTATGGTGGAAGTCTGCTTACATGATGTGTCCAGCTATGTGACGTGGGTGAAAGTACGAAACGTGCCTTTTGAGGCGACAGAGCATGATGTGATGGCGGTGTTTAGCAGCTATGGAAAAATCCACTCAGTTGTGATGGGGGTGTGGCAAAATGGACCTTATGAGGGGCTACCTGAAGGATCATTTACGCTGAAAATGACGTTGAGGCAGCAAATTCCATCATACGTATTGATGGAGGTCTTCCGGACGCAGGTCTACGTGTACTACTCAGGGCAGCGGAAGACTTGCAGATTATGTGGTTCTTTTGAACATATGGCGGCCCAATGCTATAAAAAAGCTGGGCGGAGGGAACAGGTACCAGTGATCTTACATCAGAGGAATGCTATGGGGGCGTTGGAGGAAGGAGTAAGACCAAACTAAGAATCCTTCCAGATGGAGTGAAGAAGTGGATAGGGCTGAGGCGGCTATGGAGGAAAGTGTAACATTAACAGTTGATAAGGGACAGACGACATCGACGTCTGATGAGGAGGGTACGGGCCAACAGGATGGCTTGCTGGAGGAAGTACTAAGTTCCTTTTTGCATGACGTAGAGGAGGGACAGGAGGATGAAGGGTGTAACCTGGTGCAGGAGACAGTGCAGCAAGATCAGGAGGTTAGGAATACTGTGTGCACTAATGTTAATGTGCACAACGTTGTGGCAGAGGTCCATAGGGCAGAAAAGAAAGGTGACGAGGTGTGTGGGGAGGGGAGTTCTCTTAAGAGAACTGCAGGAACGTCTGAGATGGACGATGTTCTTACTCCAGGACAAAGGAGTAAAATCTTGGAGAAAGGATGTATGTCATAAGGGGAAAGAGGGAAGGGGTAATGAAGGGTTTAATGGTTCTAGGGATAACGAAGGGATAGGGGGGATGAATAAGCAAGCTGTCAAGAAAGACGCAATACAGCAGGACAGTATAGGAGGGTGTGTGCCAAGAAGAAAGGGTAAACCACCACTTTTAAAATAATTCACGGTAGTAACTGTAAATGTAAATGGATTGAGGAATGAAGTGAAACGAGTATGGATGGAATGGTTTTTGAGGAGATATAATGTGGATGTATGCTTTATACAAGAACATAATTATAAGATAGGCTGTGCTTTGGCATTAAAAGGTTAGGTTAAAAGGGGTAGTGGCAGTGGCTGTGAAGGAAAATAGTCCTTTACGTATTATAAAGTGGGAAGAAGGGGGGTGGGAGGGTAGTGAGGGTGGATGGTGAGAGGGGAGCATCTCGAGTATGTTTCATTGGGGTTTATATGCCAGCGGAGAATATAATCAAAGTAAAAGAGGATTTTGTGAGAGACGTTTTGGTGTATTTTTTAAGGGGTTTACCTCTAGTCACTGTAATTGGGGGGGACTGGAACTGTGTTATAAGGAGGGGGGATGTGGAGCCAAGGGGGGCGGGTTGTGTGTTAGGGCCGTTACGCAATGTTTTACAGGATGCAGGGGTGAGGGACGTGGAGGGGAGTGGGGCTTGGAGAGTGGATTTTACTTTTGTTAGGAGAGATTATTCAGCGAGGTTAGATAGGATTTATATAACGGGAGCAGTTAGTGTAGGAGGGGTAAAAACAGCGGACGTAGGGTTTTCGGATCATAGGGCAGTTTTGGTAGAACTGGATTGGGAGGGAGTGGTAAAGGTATATTCAAGTTTCTGGAAGTTAAATGCGAGGTTGGTAAGGAGTGAGGTGGTGAACGCAGAGTTTAGAGACTGGTGGAGACAATTGTGGAGGGCAAGGGATGGGGTAGGGGGTATTTTGGATTGGTGGGAAAATAGGGTTAAACCTGGTATCGCGGGGTTTTATAAATATAAAGGAAGGGAGGAGGCGAGGTGGAAGTATGGTTTACAGAATTATTTGGAACAGCAGCTCAATGAGTGTTATGTGAGAGAGGAGGGGAAGTCTTTTGAAGAAATGTCAGGGCTAAGAGAGAGACTAAGGGAAATACATAATGAAAGATTTGATGAATTAAGGGTAAGGGCAGGTATGGATGCCGTGGTATGGGGAGATAAACCATCGGGTAGTGTGTTAAGAAGTTTTCGCATTAGACAACAGGAGTCCACTATAATACTTTTAAAGGTTAGTGACGATTTGGAAGGTTATACTAAGGGGCAAATGTTGGTGACAACTGAGGGGATAAGTAATTATGCGGACTATTGGTTTAAAAGGAAATGGGAAAAGGGATGCCCTCTCTCATCTGAACCAGGATGCCCTCTCTCATCTGAACCAGGATGCCCTCTCACATCTGAACCAGGATGCCCTCTCTTGAGCAACTTTACCAGCAGCTGAGAGAAGAGCTCAGAGTTGCTAAGATGGAGATACGGCGATTAACAGAGGAGAACAAGAGGATTCGTAGTAATCCTTCTGTTGTGAGTCCCCAGGTTAAGAGGGGAGCTTGGTCAGTGGCCGGGCAACATGGAACCAAGCTGAAGATCAAGAAAACGGTTGGAGAGGCAGAAACAACGAGAAACCAGAAGACTACCGTGGAAACTTCCAACCCATTCTCGGTGCTACCTGACGAATATGAGTGTTCTACTGGGAATGCCACAACGAGCACCAAAGAAGCATCCCTAGAAACCCCAACGAAGACCATCGAGAACGTCTTGACGAATTCTACAAGTGGTGTAATGCTACCTGGCGAATGTGAGTCGACTACTCGGAGCATCACGACGGACGACGCCAAGGAAGGTAAAAACATTGTTGTTGTTGGGGATAGCCAGATTAGGTACATGGATAGGGCATTCTGCTTGAAGGATAGGAATAGGAGACAGAGAGTGTGTTTTCCTGGGCTGGGATGAAGGATATTGTTAGCCGTCTGGATGACATCATGAGAGGTAATGGGAGCAATCCTATTATCTGTCTCAGTGCTGGAGGCAACGATGTTGGCAGACGTAGGAGTGAGGACCTGATTAGCAGGTATAAGTCAGCAATAGAGATAATTAGGAGGAAGGGTGGGAAACCTGTCATATGTGGCATTTTGCCAAGGAGAGGGTTGGAAATGAATGGTTGTCCAGAGCAATTGGTGTCAATTGCTGGCTGGACAAATACTGTAAGGAAAATGCAGTAACATTCATTGACAACTGGGACCTCTTCTATGGCAGAAATGACATGTATGCCAGGAATGGGGTTCACTTATCTAGGTGTGGGGTGGGAGCACTGGCCAACGCAGTGGAGGAGCTGTTAGGTCTTTAAACTAGGAATAGTTAGTGGTATGGGTTTTGGCGGGAAAACTGTGAAGTCACAGGGTAGTAATATGAGTACTAGGAGAACTAGTAATAGGCAAAATGAGGGGATATTGGAAACCCAGTGGCACTAATTGACAAGGAAACAGTAATAGGTTTAGTGGAATAACAGAAAGGAGTAGGAAGGGTAAAAGAGAGAGGAGGGTCTTTAAATATTTATTACACAAATAGTCGCAGTGCTAGGAATAAGGTGGACGAGTTGAGACTAGTTGCTAGTGCAGGTAACATAGATGTATTGCATTACTGAGACGTGGTTTATTTCAAAAAGTCGGGACATGCCTGCAGAATGTCACATTCAGGGTTTTAAATTGTTCCAAGTAGATAGAAGTATCGGGAAGGGGGGTGGGGTGGCATTGTATGTCCGAGATCGCTTGAACTGTTGCATAAAAACGGGTATTAAGTCTGAAGTAACACATACAGAGTCTGTTTGGATAGAATTTTCAGAGGGGCATGAAAAATTAATTTTAGGTGTGATATACCGTCCCCCAAATTTAGATAAGGGACCAGGGGGGACTACTATGGGAGGAAATTGTTTAGGGCCACAAGGCACGATATGTAGTAATTCTAGGAGACTTTAACTTTAGTCATATTGATTGGAACTTCTTGACTGGGAATTTAGAATCATACGATTTCTTAGAAGTAGTTCAGGATTGTTTTTTGAAGCAGTTTGTGACAGAACCTACAAGGGGTAATAACCTGCTTGACTTAGTACTGGCAAACAATGAATCCCTTGTTAATAATTAGAAGTTTCAGAGGAACTGTGTGCTAGCGACCACAAATCAATTACATTTAGAATTGAATGGAAGTATGATAGTAGGGATAACTCAGTAACAGTCCCAGATTTTCGCTTAGCAGATTACGATGGGCTTAGAGAACACTTATCATCTGTTGACTGGGTAACGAAGAGAGCTATCAATATGACATTTTTTCTGAACACAATACATGCTGCTCAAAGAACGTTTAATCCCTTATAAGGAAATTAGATCAAATAGAAATGACCCAAAATGGATGAATAATAGGCTGAAATATCTACTAGGGCATAAGAAAGGAATTTATAGGCGTATCAAAAGAGGCGAGGGTCATCTTATGAATCAGTATATTGACATTAAGAGGGACATTAAAAAGGGGATAAGAAAAGCTAAAAGGGACTATAAAATTTTAAAGTTGCTAGGGATTCTAAAACTAACCCAAAAAGTTTTTTCCAGGTCTATAGAACAAAAGTCAGAGATAAGATAGGTCCCCTTAAAAATAACTATGGGCATCTTACTGACAAAGAGAATGAAAT